TTATTTACTCAAGCTGCATAGGTGCAGTGAGATATCGGCAAAAACTTGTACGGTGCCAACTATACTAAGAAAGTTACAGTATGTAATACGATAATATTCCTTTTTTCTCTCGTATATTTTAGTCATCACCTTCCTGTTGAAAGTGCAGTAAAGCCCGATTTGAATTTCGTACTTTATTTATTTATTTATTTGTTTGTTTGTTAATAATTTCTGTCGAGTAGCTCATTCGTCACCAGCTCTAGGCAGTACGAGGAAATCACGTACGGCACGATGCCTGTAAGTACTGTATATAATAGAAAATGAAAATAAGATACACACGTGCAAACGAAAATGAAACGATATATAATTTGGGGCACATATGGACACGATCAACGATAACAACACACATTAATGTGAATTTCAGCTGTTTTTTTTTTTTTCGAACACAGCAAAAATGCGCGTGTCCAGAAGGAACGTTAACAGAAAATGTACAGGGTCTGGGCCTGCGTCTCTTCTCCTTCTTTCCTTTTTCATTATTGCTTTCGTTGCATCTTCTTTCTGAAATTTCGAATTTCTCAAAAATTTACTCCATTAGTGGGGTTTAGTGTAATTTTGCTAGCATGGGCTACAAAAAAATTGTCGACCCCGCGTTTATTCTGTGTTTGTGACCAAGATGATGGTCGATTGTGTGTTATATGTTCGCGTGAGAACTCAACCCAAAGTAAAGCCGACTTTCTATTCCTGAGTTTCTATATATATATATATATATATATATATATGTATATATATATATATATATATAGGCATATGCCTGTCTGCTCTTACACGAGAATAGTAAAAACATTGGTAGATACTTCTAGAGATAAACTGACCGAGTAGAAAAGCTGAATCGGTCAATGTATTGATTGAGCCAGTGATAAATCTCCGTCGTAAAGGGCAGAAAACGTGTCGAGGCGCAATAGATGAACTAATACCTAACCAGTATCAACAATGTCGATGCCAATTTGATAAAATGAAATAAGTGATCCGTAAAAGCGAAGTTACCATACTTTAATCTTACGCGTGTCGATCACTTGAAATGGGCTCGTAGTTAAATGCAAATAGTTTAACTGTATGTTAATTGGAGCCGTTAGAACATTTAAATTGAGAGACTGAAATGATAATCACGATGAAAAAACGGCCATTTCTTGGGGGTCTTAGCACGTCGTTTAGCGTTTAGCGAACACTTGGTCGCGTATTGGCTCGTACTGCCGGACGGACACCTACATAATGTATAAACTGGCACTCTCACAAACGTTCCGCATAGATGGAAACACCTGTATGAAAGGTCCAACATATAACAAGGTTCGAGTAAAACGAAAAAGGTCATGACCATTACGTATCTTGTTTAGCCGACGATGTGATAGCTGAGCGATTGAGTACTCAATACGATTGTGCTCGACTAACCAATAAGGAGCACAAACAAGCACGAAGAAAAATAACTGAGCTAATTTCAACAAATATATCTATCTTAGTCATGCGTTAAGCTCTACAATGAACAATCCACCAACCTTGAAAGCAAAGTGGTCACCTCGTTCAATTAGTTTTTATACCGAATTGTTTTTCTTCTACTGTCTTAAACCACAGCAAACGAAGTCCTAAGCTTGTACCACTATCAAGTACCCTGCGGTAGGTCAGCCTCAGTCGTCTCGATCACTGAAATGGGCCATATGCTATGGGCATATCGTAAACTACAAAACTTTCAAAATGTCTTACCATTATTCGTGAGGCAGAAATAAATCAGGTTTTCTCCACTTAAATAAGGCGCATGCGCATTGCAAATACATTGATACAACGCACACTTGACGTTGTCCAGAATGGTGGCAAATTCGTTCTGTTGGTAAGCCGTCGAACATATGGGCATTTCGTAGGCCCGCATCGCATTCAAGCATCGACGTCGGTGATGGAGCCGCTAACAGCAACAATCGAGTGCCCGTGCCAATGGTAATAAAAGCGATAAAGGCGTTCCAGCTTGAGCATGAAGCGTTTTTTAAAATAAACAACTATGTCTTGTTTAGTGAAAATTTGTTTGATCTGCAGGCCGGCAATGCCACCGGCTTGCGCGGCTATTATAATCGACACCATCAGAGCTATAGGTTTGTCAATTTGAAAACGTCTCCTCTCTTTTTCCCAGTGTCCATTCCATTGTTGACTACAGGGTACCATTACCCATACAATACCATAGGAACGTCTTACATGCGAGCCTCGTATAGAAACGTATGATACTAAATTTTTGAAATGTTCCCTCAGGATAGCAAGTTTATCATTTGTTAGACGTTACATACATGTGTGTTGCACTGCGTGTCCACGTTATTATCGTCGTTTAAGGCACGTTCGTTGGAGCAAGTTATAGCTCAATAGTTAGCTTCTACATATAGCTTTCGCGCGTTCATCAAATGGAGCTTTGGGTGATTCTCTAGTTATTGCTTTAAATGTTGATCTCCTCGTTGATTTACAATGGATAGACGATTCTACGCTGTATTTTTTCTGGCGCAATATATCCTTCACAACATCGTTGTACCGTGTGTACCGTCAACTGGTCTGCGGCACCATTGTAGATGTCGAAAGGATTCCCAATACGGATTATGCCAAAATAATAGCAAGTGTACGCTTGCTTTACGACCAGTGCGCCATGGTCGCGATTAACAGAGCAACTGCCGTGGAAAACGCATATTGGCTTCTTGTTTCAATACGGGTTTGTATTATACCTTTGTGTCCGTTGTCGCTGTTAAAAGACAAGTAGAAACGCAATAAAAAAAAAGTCCATTGGTAGATTCGATCGCGGTTTGTTATCGACAACAATATCGTCACAAACAAACGCTTCTGCTTTTTTGAAAAACGAGAAATCAGCGACGTCAGGACCCAGCAGCAGGCGAACGGTGAACAGCTGGAGGGGCCATCCGCAACTATCCGGCCCCGTTACCTCGTTTCTGTGTCTCCTGTTGCTGACTCGGTTCTGCTGGATAGAAGAATCAGAAAATGCATGATATGATATGCACTGCTGTTCTCACTGCCATTGCCACCTGGCGGATCGGCCGCCTCTGCTGCTCGAGCTATAGAAGAAGACGCTCAGCCCCGTCCTCGACGCCTGCTAAATGTGTTAGAAATATTATAGTGAAGTAAATCGCGTATGTATATGATGTCGGAGGCGCATGTTACATTTACATCTCGAAACTAGGAGGTGCCAGAGATCTGACTATGATTGTGACACATCTTAATGTGTACTATAAATTTTTCTTACGTTTTTTCATAGATCAAATGATTCCTTCAGCTGTCGTAACGCGACCTGTCTGACTTAATTACAGTAAGTAGCTTTGTTCTATAAAACGTGTTAGGGATAATTTTTTACTGTTAAATACTAATGAGGATAGTAGCGTGCTTAGTCCTATTACTGATACATTTTTGCAAGCAAAAATCGATTATTCAGATCGAGTTAAGCTAGTTACAAGGTGTCGGAGACAACGGATGTCCCGAGGCTGTTTGAGTGACTCAGAGGGCGCACAATATCCTGTTACCTCTGTAAGCTGCTGTTTTATCAATATCGAGTGGGGAATTTCATGATGAATTGATGTCAGCTTCCCTTTTGAGAAAGTTTGCGAGCGATGATGAACGTTTGCGTATGAGTGCTTGCCTTTGCGTGTTCCTAGGGAAACAGGTGGACAGATGGTCGTGTGCTTCGGTACAAATTTACGGCATTTGTAGATGTCATAGTACACTTAGGTGTCTGTGATTTCGAGTGATAGTTGACTACGCTCGACAGCAACTACAACAACTTGTCGAGGCGAGTGTTTCGTCCGTCGGACGCTGTTAACAACGAGTAGCTCGCTCGATGCCTCGCCGTTGCCTGCCTGCGATCGCTAGCCTGAAGTTGCTCGTGTTCGTGATGAAAGGATGCGAGAAACGAGTTCGACGATCATCTGCGTTCTATCAGTCGCTGTGCCAACAATTGCTGGCGCCGTTGCCGGCTATTCTCTATATAGTTTCATTTCAGCTGCAACGAGTGACCATCTTGGTTAATCTAAGAGCGAGACAGAGCCGGCGGATGATGTCGGAGCGAGCAGTTCTGCTGTACTGCTTCGTTCCGTGGGATGCAACGGCGACGGCAACAGGAACAACAGCAGGATAAATAGCAAGAAGGCTGGCGATAACTACAACAGAACGGCTGAAATATTCTACCAGACGGAAACAGTAGCAAAGAGGGCCGTTGCCCGGGGGCCTGTTGCCGTGTCTCTTAACTGCATACATTTCTCGTCTTAAGCCACTGAAGTCGAAGACAGTAGCGATCAACACTATTCAAAGAAAGGGGAGATTCTGCTGGTATTAGAATGAAGCATATTGGTTACTAGGGAGAGGAACTACGATAATTAAAAATGTCTCTGTCGCAACATTTAAGTGCTACCGACTCAATCGTGAAAGCGCTATTGACAAAAATACCTTAAGGAATACATTCAAACGAAAATAATTTGTGAGTTTATGGAAGTCCTAGTACGGTCTGGCTGCATCCCTTTATGTTTCAAGAGTCTAACGGACGTCTCAGCGATTCCCTAAGTTTCCTACTATTATTTTAATAAGTACAGGGTGTATTCATAGCTCGTCCATGCGCCGGAAGGAATAGCCTAGATTTCTTCAGATAATTAACGCGCTCGGTGATCTTTGAGAACGAATTAATTTCCACGTTCGGTTTTGCGTCTTCGCATCTTATCAGGCAAGGTGTTTCATATAGCATTTGTCGTTTCCTTTTTGAATCCACAAGATACAAGTTTGTTTAAAGTTTTAGATAGTTCTAGATCAGATATATAGTAATGTAAATGAGGTAGTTTTAACGACGTATATAGAACATACAATGAGTTTATCCTGCTAGTTGTGTGCTTGTTAACTTTTTGTGAAACTATAACTGTCGTTCCGTGTTAAACGATTGAAGACGATTTGTAGCAAATGTGTCAAAGTTAAACTAACATAAACGCGCGTTGAATTGATTACAGTGTTAGGCGCCAAGAATCTGGTCCGCCGAGATTTTTTCCGTCAGCCAGATCCGTTCTGCAAGATAACAGTGGATGGCGGTCCAGACATCGCGGGACAGAGCTTCTCCACCGTATTCTGTAGAGGCACTATAGATCCAAGGTGGTCACAGAATTTTGACATGTATATCACTAATCAAACCTCGGTAAGTTCATCACTGTTTAGGTAATGCCAGCTTTACAATGGCACAATGCTCACACCCTTTGCCCGCTCAATATCCCTTATATTCGTTCAAAGCGATGCTTGATTAAATATGCTCAAAGTTACGATGCTACATCTCATTGTAGTAAAGAAGTTTAATAAATACATAACTTTGGAACGTTTATTTTAGCAAGTCAGCTGAACTCCCTACGTTTAGATAACTGAAATGCGGGTGTGAAAATTACCCACGCGTCAGGAGTGGTTGCCGGAAACAAGCGAGCCCATCTGATGATATGAAATAACTTACGTTCGCTGTTGGGGTCTCGCATTTTCTTACTGAAGATCCTTACAGAGTACCTACCAAATAGTTTTCATTTTCTTTCTCAGTTTCTAAAAAAAAAAAAAAGCTTGACACTATCTCCAGTAGTTTATCCGCTATTATTTTTGGCGAGCTATCCAAGATCATCAGCTCACACTTGGGTCTCATGTGTTCTATTGTTACGCATATATGACGACGTCGTCCGCCATTTCTCGTGCGCAGCGATTAGAAATGGGCAATCCTTTTAAGACATCTAGGTACTATTATCTGGCCAAACCGAATCGAAGCCGAAAGGAAGTATCGATGAGTTGACTAAAGAGATATTGTTGCCATAGTCCGTGATTGAATTACCCGTTTCAATGGTGATAAAGGCACTGATATTCACCGGGACCAGCCAAGTGTCCCATACTGAATACGAATGTAGTTAAGCGCAATGAATCAATCTAAAAACATCAATTACGCATAACTGAAAATAGGTTATGATTATATAACGCACAAAAGGTTGGGTCAACATATGGCAAGACTTCAATGAAAGAAGAAGTAAGCTGTAGTTTATAAGGACATCGAAACTTCATCAATATATAATTGAACGGAAATTGACTTCAACGACATTACACTCATAGGAGGAAACAAGCACTTTACAGACGTTTCCTGTTGCTTCAATTTTTAGGATATCATCTCGGGAAAAAATAAACGTATTGCTTGCTATCTTATCTACACTATTGGACACTATTTTTGATCGTGTTAATTAAAGCCCTGTATTGTACTGTGCTGTGAAAATTACCACGGCCCGTCATTTCCTCATATATAAGTGTACGACTTTACTTATCATTATGTTTACTAATAAAAACAATAACCATAGTAATCGTATTAGCGTAAAAATCTCGCATTGGTTTATTCTTACTTTCTAACATTCGGGATTGTGGTTGTTTCTGTGGATGGTCTATCATCTTCACGCTCAGATAACGATATCGGTGTGGAATAATCGAAAGATTAGTTCGAAGAAAGAGTCGACAGCCTTTCTCGGCTGTGTACGTCTAAAACCCAACATGATTCAGCAGCTCCGAGATGCCGGCGGTGAGTGTCTTTGCGGTGTTGCCATAGTGAAATCGTCTCGTAGTCAAATACGCTTTATTTTGCCCTCATAGCAAAGCTCTTAGAGATACCGTCAATTACACTTATCGAGTAGATGAGACAGAACGTTCATACAAATTGAGAGGACACGTGGTAAAGTAAAAACAATTCAGAAATTAGCAGGACAAGGACAGAATGGCAAACAAAAGTATTTGAGATAGTATTTGGGTATATTTGACAAACGAACGCATCAGCTGGATGTGTGTTCGAAACACAACTACACTTGTATATACACATACATACATACATACATACATAGATACATACATACATACATACATATATATATATATATATATATATATATATATATATATATATATACACTGAAAATTTTGAAAATATTAGCTATAAAACTGAAAAACATGGCTTAGACGTCAACAATAAGCTAGATCTCATTCTGTGATCGCGCACTTTTATGTGACCTGTTAGTATGTGCAGCTCATAGCCATATATATTACTAGCAGTAAGAGGACTAGCATGTCTTATGTAGCACGTAGACGTTTATGAATCACGTGTTTTGCCTCCCTAAAAATAATGCTCCAATGAGCCGAAAAGGACGGAGAAATGCAATATGAGAGGCGACACAAAGCCACAAGTCGTAAATGAATAAAACCAACCCGGCCATCTTCGCCAAATTTACTGGGTCAGTAATATAAAGAAGCTAGTCGGTAACTTCTCCCCACAAGATCGTCCTCAGCCAAAGGAATGGCTCGGTGTGCCGACAAGTATCGCTTGTTAGCTTTTTCTTCTGTATTGTAAAATTGCTTTTGCAAAAGACTTCTGAAGCTGGCCTTCCATTCACCTGGAGGCTATACTTAGTAGGTACAATGAATGATGTCCACTGTCAGTAATGCTCGTAAATGAAAATTGACTTAAGCATTTGACTGATTCCATTGTTGTTGTATTGCCATATTTCGTAATAGTAAATTGTAAATGAGATGCCCAGTTATTGTTCATACGTTGCAACTAGCGTCCGCACAATAGTCTCGCGTTGATCGTGCGGGACCGTTTTGCTACGTACATAACCGATCGTTAATTTTCGCTCAGAAACGCAAATAATAATTAATCATTGAAAATGATTAGGAGTTAACTTACGTTTGCCCCTGTACGGTTTTCCTTCCTGATACAACTTATCGACGGATCAAAATCACTACACTGTAATGGCTATATCTGTGCAGTTCAACTTCTCGAGTTGTCGAAATTTTATCCCTCGGAGGATACAGCATCCGTGGATTCCGTAAAGGGCCACCTGGCGATTTCTCTGGCTTCGCGCGGGGCTGCGCATTCATTTCCGGCAACTTCGGCAATGGCTGGCAGCTGTCCATTAGTTTTAATCGGATGCGGTGGGATACACGGTCCTGTTACGAGTAGCGTAAGTAGCGGTGTTCATCGGGAAACTGTGACAACTGCCGCAGTCTCTTCGCTGCCGGCGCCCAATCAACAGCTCTGCACCAGCACCAACGCGACAAACAGCCGTGGTTCACCTGCTCACGCCAGCTGCAATGGCCACACCGCGAGTAGCAACTATATTAAGTGTACCAGCCACTCCAGCTCCAACTCTGGCAACACTAACAGCGGCTGTCTTAACAACATCGTAAATAACAACAACGATAATAGCAATCCTAACCACAACAGCAGCAACAGCAACAGCAGCAGCAGCAGCAACAACAACAACAACGCGGGTCGTAATCGCAACAATAGTTCTAATAATGCTGTCGGTCAAACAACAGCGACGACAACGGGATGCTGCATGTCGCAACAACAAAGCAGCAGCAGCAGCAGCAACAACAACAACAGTGCGAATGCTGCTAATCAAGAGAATCAGGATAGCAATAATACAGTTAAGCAGATCGCAGATGCTTGTGGCAGCGGCGGTGGGGTAGCAGGAGGACGAGGTGGTGCAAATAGTAGCGCCGGTGTAAATGATGATTTGCCTGAAGGATGGGAAGTACGTGTTACGAATTACGGCCGGGAGTACTTCGTTAATCACGCCACTCGGACAACGCAATGGACCAGGCCCGTTACGTCGGCTTACGAGCAGGCACCTCCGAGACGCGAGCGAGAGGGCCGCCGAAGGTCCACAAGACATCGAAATTACCTAAGTCGCAATCAGCTTCACCGAAATATACCAACTACCACGGATCTACAAGACGGTTACGGTCAGTGAAATTTTAAACATAGTTCAATCTTGGTGAAGTTCCATTGTTAGTTAGGTGTAATCTATATGCTATAAAAACAACACAAAAATGGGAACGGTTTTGTCACTATGTTCGGCACAATCTTCGCAGTATCATAATTTTCCTTACTGATAACCCTTGATTTGTTTTTGTTTCAATGACGACAGAAATCCGCACCACTGAGCAGGGACAAGTTTACTTCATCAATACCGGAACAGGCCAGGTATCCTGGCATGATCCACGTGTACCAAAGGAGGCGCCTCGCAATGTCGACCTTGGACCTCTTCCTTCCGGTTGGGAAATGCGAGTTACTAGCTCAGGGAAGCGGTATTTCGTTGACCATAATAACCGCACAACACAATTCACTGATCCCCGTCTAACGGCGGCTACCGGTACGTCCAATCTGGCTAGTGGAACCGGGAATGAACAGGCTGGCGGACATCGCGGACCAACCCATTCGACACCCCCACGAAGGTACGTTAGCAAGGTCTCCGCTTGTCGAAAGAAACATCTTCGTTTAAGACAAAAAAAAAACCCATCTATTTCTCATAGTTGTTGAATGCGCGAAGATGATATTAAAAAAAAAACCTGATCTGAAATAGTTTCAATAATGCTTTTATGAATGGGACGCCTTTAGTGATGATTCGAATTTCCATAGGATTCAAAGGATTGCAGTTTGTAACAATCATTTCAATATAAACGGCAAAAAAGCAGCGTACCGTCATTGAGATGCTAGGTTAACTTCTTTAAGCGGAATCGTTCGACTTATTTGGAAGGTATTGGTTCTCGCCGTTACTATCTTCGAGATAACGTAGCTACAGCAACATGTGAGCTTGCTTTGATTGGGTATCTAATTTTAGGAGTGCTCACGCACCCACGGAAAGGGAACACGATAGCAGAGGCAGACGGAATGCATTTGTAGAGGGCGGGGGTAATGAGCACGGTGCCCAAATCTCTGTAAGGCAAGCTGCTCCGTCTATTAATGTCTCAGGCCTGCCACCGATCTCTCCGACGACGCATGGCTCGCAACCCACTGCTCAGCATTTTCTAAGGTGCACCATTACCAATTTGAAGTATAGAACGCTTTAGACAAGCAACGAGCTCCCTCACGTTTGTCAACCGGTTAAAACAAGCGCAGATATCAGTTTTATCCAGGTAGTTTCACGCCTAACTAAGATTATTCTCGTACGATAATAGAACACCCTACGTGAAAAATTGTGTGTCCTTTAATCAAAAACTAGCGGCTCTTTGAGTCAATTACTAGTGATATTCTTATAGGAACTTATCTAACTATACACAATTGGATTTCAGTCAAAGTCAGGTGGCAGGTAGTGGATGTCGTGGAGATGCATCTATTCCCGGCGTTTCGCAGCGTCTAGGGCCTAAAGAAGAACGTGATATACCAGGACTTTTCCGTGGCCCACAAAAACACAACAGAGATCTCGTTACAAAACTTACTTTGTTGCGGAGGGACTTGCAGGCTTTCCAGCCGCCAACTGGTACTTATAACATCCTGTGCCTTATTTTGTAGAAAGAAAGGCGATGATTCATACGCGGTTATTACATTTGTAACATAGGAGCGTTGATTCTCTTTGGTATCATTACTATAGCTAGCTAGAAGTTCCGAAGTACAGTTGTCTGTTAATTATTTTGTTGTAACCATCATTAGGTCATTGCCGCCTGGAGGTGTCACGCGAGGATATCTTCGAGGAGTCGTACCGCCAGATAATAAAAATGCGTCCCAAAGACCTCCGCAAGCGGCTTCAGGTGAAGTTTCGTGGAGAAGACGGGCTCGATTACGGTGGGCTGGCAAGAGAATGGCTCTATCTGCTCTCTCATGAGATGCTGAATCCATATTATGGGTTATTCCAGTACACTCGTGAAGATATTTTTACTCTGCAGATCAATCCCGATTCCAGTGTTAATCCAGTACGTATAAATACTCCCATACATATAACTGTACATAGTAATTGAAGTTAATAAGCAATAACAACCTTGTCAAATGAGCAATTAGAGTCTATATATCTTACGTTCAATGTGTCGGGGGGTAGTCTCGAAAGCGGCTTTTAATGATATCTTGTGGGTTGACTTGTCTCGCTAGAAAATTCCAAGGTAACAGTCTAAATTTCGGGCAGCATTATTATATAGGGCAATATTACATTTAAATGGATAAAAAAAAAGTTACCTTGGAGTCTTAAGATTGCGCATTCTAGCAGACGAAAAGTTCGGAACGCCTATTTTGTGTCCAATAGCAGAGTGCCTTTAGATGATGTACTTGATAAAAAATCACATTCACAGATTGTTATTAACGATAAACGAAGTATAGCAAGATTATTGTAATATAAATCTGCAAAAACATTGCGAAGACAAGCCGGTGTCGAGTAGAAAAAAAGTCCTCGTGGTATTGGCTCCAATGTACGCATCTGTACTTTAATTCGCTTATTTTTAAAAGTCGTTTCTGCTCAATCGTCGAGCGATTTTTTCGTTTATTCCAACTTACCGCTGTGCAGTAAGTTGAAGCTTTTAATGACTGTCTATCGTCCAAAAAGATTGAAGCTATAAGCAAAATTGAATCTTGAGCTTCTTAGACGATCCGGATCAAATAGAGTATAGACGTTTCCAAAAACGACAAGAGGAGCAAGACCTGCGTCGAAAACTTGTGCTACAGAAAAACATTTGTAAATGGGACCGTATCATGGTTGAATAGATGTGATCGAGAGAAAAATTAAGTGTCGCTATTAGATAATTAGAGAGGTTTGAGGCGATAGCCACTTGGGTGTTGATGCTGCCAACGATAGTAATAATATCAGCATTTTTACTATTGTAAACGGATTTATATATTTATGGTTTGCCATTAATGATCTAATAGATTACTTAGTCAGTATCGTATGCTAGTTTTCCCAACGGCCGTTTGCAATGAGAGTTCGAGGATATATTATAGCGACTGTAATGTACGACCGTATCTAATGTAGAATGTATAGATTACTCGATTTAATGTACCTAAAACATTCTCAGCGGAACGTCCGGTTGTTGTTCTTATCTGCTGCACGCACTAGCCAACAGATAAGGGCCATTACGCGACTGCAGCAAAAAAATAGCACAAAGTATTTGATCTACTGACGCACTCATCATTGACACTCGTGAGTCAAGTCCAGTGTTTGCATCGTTCTCGTACTTGCAGGAGCACCTATCGTACTTCAAGTTCATCGGTCGTATCATTGGCATGGCCGTGTTTCATGGTCACTACATCGATGGCGGCTTCACGCTCCCGTTCTACAAACAACTGCTTAACAAACCAATTACGCTAGCAGATATCGAGGTCGTTGACGAACAGCTGTACCGAAGCCTCAAATGGATTCTCGAGAATGACGTGAACGACGGTGGCGCTTTCGATGAAACGTTTGAAGTTGAACATAATCAGTTCGGACGCGTCGTAATGCATGAGCTAAAGCCAGGAGGAGCAGACATAACCGTTACAGACGACAATAAAAAAGAGTGAGTTCAACGCTTTCGAGGCGAAATTCTCCAGACAAAAATTGTCCTTTACGTAATTTTTATCGAAAACACTCACTTGAAAAGTGTATTAATTTCAAATCACTAACATCGCGGACCTATTTTTAAGATATACGTTTACAAAAATAGTTCTACGCGTGAGAAGGGCAAAGCTTCAGCAACTTTCCGCCTCTCGAATTTTATTGATTCTTTGTTATATATTCGATATTAGGCCGCGATGGAACGTCCGACAGTGACAGTCAAGCAGTAATAAAGAGATGTTGGCTTTATCGTAGGCTGGGTTACGTAGATGGGGAAAACCCTTACTCATTCTAAACCGAAAAGCAATACTTTGTTTCATTACTGATGAGCTGCAATCTGTTTTTTGCGGTTCTTTTAATGTACGCACCACAGGTATGTTAGTCTATACGTCAAGTGGCGTTTCATGCTCGGCATTGAAGCACAGTTCCGCGAACTACAGAAAGGCTTTAGCGAATTGGTACCTGTAGCACTACTTAAAGATTTTGATGATCGTGAGTTAGAGTTAGTTATTGGCGGGCTAGGTCGGATCGACATAGCCGACTGGAGAGATCATACGCGCCTGAAGCACTGTTCGCCGCACACCGCTCAGGTCGAGTGGTTCTGGCAGATTGTAGAGTCGTACGACGAGGAGCAGCGGGCTAGACTATTGCAGTTCGTCACCGGTTCTTCACGTTTGCCATTGCAGGGCTTTTCAGCCCTGCAGGGCTCCACAGGTGCCGTCGGTCCTAGGCCCTTCACGTTACACCTCGTCGCGGATGCTTGTACGGATAACCTGCCCAAAGCGCACACATGTTTCAATCGAATTGACATCCCGCCGTATGAGAACAAAGAAAAAATGCGAGACAAGATCACTCAAGCTATCGAAGAGACATGCGGTTTTGCAGTTGAATGAATAGAAGAGATAGAAAAAAATCGCGCGAGCCTACCTAGGACATTTCTGTTTTGCAGGCGCTTGAGTGTGTGGTGTGTTTATTCATGTGAGTCTGTGGGATTTGATGAGAACAGTATGGTTAGCCGAAAGCATTCTATTCGCATCCTACGTTTGGCGTCTAAAGGAACAGTGTCTCCTTCCGAGATGAGACCGAAAAATCAATGGATGAAAATGTACTTTTAAGGCCGGCAGATTTTGATTGCGTCGTTTCGGTTTTCGAAATCTTCAACCGCCTGTCCGCCAGGATAGGCTCTGGGTGATAACGATTGCCGCGACTGAAATTCAAGATATATGTGAAACAAAAAAAAAAAGTGGTATATATAGTGGTGTCCTGAGACGTCAGTAACGCAAGCTAATGTGTACTTTTGTATATATATATAGTAACGATATGATAAAACATCGATGAGATTGCAAGCATGACGACGATTTTAAGTTTTCTTTGCGTGTGCGTTTCGCGTCAATTGAATGGTCAAGAAGAATAACCACGGCATTAATTTATCATGATAATAATAGCAGCTGACATATAAGATGCTAGCTATTTAGTCATTATTAAAAAATTGAAGACAATGAAATGACGAAATAGGATCTTCACTATGACATAAGTTAATTGATGGATTGATAGTTTTTGGTAAAACGGAAAAAGCAAGACAATTGATGCATGTATATACATTGAAACGAAAACATTGACACAGAACGGTATAGCAAAGAGCCATGCGTTACCATGATGCGAAGTACCTGTGGACGGGATTTACCAAAAACAAAAGTAACTTCATGCCCTATTAATTTACCCATGTCTAATGGTTTAGCTAGTGGTACGAATCGAATGAGGTTTCGTCTAATCTAAAGAAAAAAGAGCCTGAGGCTTTTTTTTCGCGTAACTTGGATGGCTAAGTGCGTGATTGAAAAAGCCGGAAATCTTCGGTTCGAGCCTTACGACACATACATACATACATAGAATGTTTATCTGATATACGGTTTTAAAATAAATCATTATTGTCCTGTTTAGTGAATAGAACATTACATTTCAACACGAAACACGCAATTGTGCATTTGCTGCATTCAAGTACAGAAAAATGTTGGCCCAGAACTTGATTTCCTGCGACCATTTTCACCCAATGTGTTACCCTATGTTACCCAGGCGTCGATGTCACAAAATTTGTCCTAGTTGTTATTAACTCCGCTGTAATTTTCAAAGGGAAAACTCATAAACAGTAAGAGAGGAATGCGAAGATGGAATCTAATGTTAAAGGATTATGTTCGGAACAAACGTTTTAGTAACACTTCTCGTTCGCGCATATTTGACCTCGAACTGTCTCCCAAACGAAACAAGTGCTTGGACATTGCCCGCGGAAGAGGGCACAATATATATATATATATATATATATATATATATATATGGGCAATTCAGTCGTGACCTGCTGGCTATTGGAAAGCCAACCAGTCGTGTAGTAATCAAATAACTTCCAAAATAATAAGATATTAATAAAGATAAAGTGAAAGTAAGTAAGAACAAAGTGACAAGTAAAACCAAGAAAAAAAAAGGAGCCAACCATCGGGCTAAATCTACGCGTTCGAATGATGTCTTCTCAATATGGTCTAATATGATATTTGTGGATAGATGCAGGAGACAGCAAACGGATGCCGAATAAGGAAAGCGAGAAGAAATAATAATAAAAAAGCAACATGAAATAACATATAAAAACATGTTTATAATACTAAGACTGCTAAGGCGCATTTGTATACACATCGTCCTAGAAGTGAATAACATTTTGAATAAAGCTGCTATATTAAATTAGAGAAAGTACGCGACGCCCTTACTCAAGCTAACTACCAAGTGACCAAATCCTTAAGCTAGATCATCATAAACGCGTAATACTCACAGGATGAACAGTAAACACAATTCTGCAAAGGGGGTCTATAGGTAAATAGTTTAAAATCAAGAAGGAGCTGGAGAGGCGCTTTAGAGCGCTAGCAGTAAAGTAAATGTTGCAATATGTAAACTCGCGTTCACAGTCGCGAAGAGGGCGCAACTGTATCAAGCTCAGAATTTCGAAAAGTACGCGGCTAAGGCCTCGATGATGTTCCAGCGTTTATGCAATCTCTGTACGACAAAAATATGCCCACCTTGCATCCAGCATGTATTCTGGTAGGCAATTCTTTACACGTTCTAAAAATGTGATGAAATGTTCTTAGTAATCGTACCAAGCAAGTACATGTACTCTAGCTTTTATAACAATTATAAAACCATGAGAGCACCTTCGCTATACATCTTCCTTGCTCCCTGTTAGATCGTTGTATTCCAATCAAGCAGCTTCCCTGTTAAAAATGGAAAAGCCTAAGTAAATGTAGCGGGATTAAAGACGTATTAAGCATATGGAATAAAATGTTTGCCGTTAAGGACCGAAAAAGGCTGTTTGCGGGAGTAAGCACGTAAGGGAGTGCACTCGAACTATTTGAGTTGAGATTGACATTCTGGCCTGTACGTATTAAGTTGGATAGAAAAAAAGAAAAGATGAATATTGAGCGGTTGTAGCCCTTCTTAGCGAATACATAATCCAGGCCCCGTCAAAGCTGTAGCTTAAGTCGACTGACATAAAATTGACAAATATGCCATAACCATTATGCCGCAATGTTTCGCTTTTCTAACTTTTCAACAATAACAACGTAAACTTTCAAACACTACTTGGGCAATACGACCATTTCGAGGGCAGTGGTGGTTAACAAAACGAGGTGTTCCAGTCGTTTAACATGAGCACGCCGAAGCTCTGTTGGACAATGGCAAACAATTTATATATTTTCGAGAGAACAGAGAAAATATATAATATGTATTTTTCCAAATTTAGATACAATATCAAAGCTAGAGATACACTACATTTTACCATTTATAACGTTTTCTTTTTATAATAGCAATAAATCATTGATACAGGGGCAGTCACGCACGGCACAGATCCGACAATCGATTTCATCATCTGCAGTTACCTCTATTCATCTTGACCGAAGCATCTAGATTAAATGGTACCGCTCGCACTTACATACGTAACGAACATTCCGAACCCAAAGATTTGGGCACTGTCACCCACGCGGATATTTCGCAGATGGAACCAACAGAAAAATTGATGAAATTGAAGTTCGAGAGTGAACAACAACTTAGAGCCGCTAACTATTCCGCTGTTCATCGTTATGTTTACCAGCTTTTGTGAAGGTAAGTTTGTTTTTCTTTCACCTGATGATCCTTCGTATCGTGTAGCGAAAATAAACGGTGCCAAAAAGTTTACACAAAGTCAATCCGCTTTTTTGATGGGAAAACTTTCCTTTTTTTTTTTTTTTTATAGACAACATCAAGGCACATAACTCCTAGGTAAAAACTGAAAACAAAACATGGTTGATATTTTTTACAGGTATTTGTACCACTTGAATTTTCTTGACGAGTCAGGTGATTTTTTTGTTGCAGTAGTAAGGTTTTTAGAGTACTCCTGTACACGTGTCGCGTATCCTGTGCTCCCCACTACCACAGGTGACGTATACGGAAATTTACTTGGCCCTAGTGGATTCGAACAATAAAACAGGAAACCTTCTCGTCAGATCCAACCACCATTTGGAGAATGATTAAGCTATAGCGCACTTAAATGGTTTCCGCTTTTTTGCCTAAAAATATACTTTAGCTTACGAAATTAATGGCACAGAAAGGTAAATCTCTATGGGTCTCCATCTTTAAAATGTCGTGTCGTACAGCCCACCATAGATGAAGTCAAATTTAGTTTTGGTATTTGCATGTTTTAAACACGTCTTTGTCTAGGTAGTATTCGATCAAACGCGGAACCCCTTGTTAAGCGGCAGCAGCCACGATCGTGTAGGCTAGGTTAAGAAATGCAAAAATGGCCGTTTGGATTTCGGTTAGATAGCGAACACATTGCAAATAACGTTCATTGTTTAATCGGAAGCATGTTTCAATATTGACATTTCAGGGAGTGACAGGGCGAATTAGACCTTTCTAGTAGGTGAAAGATAGTAACCTTTCACGGCATTTGCTATTTTGAACGAAAAAGATTTGCGCCTGAACTGAACTCATTGAAGACAGCATGAATATATGACGCAAAGAATTAGAGCTACAGTTATCGTCTCTTGAATATTTTCGATCTGGATCATGTTATATATATATATATATATATATATATATATATATATATACATATATATATATATACATATACACACATATATATATATATGCAAATCTCTACGTGGCTATTACACTTAAGATTATTTGGCAATAGATGAACAAGTTATTGTCTTAAAGACGCCATGTCTAAGATGTCGCTGTTAGCCCGCCGTACTGGCCAATGTAAAGCTGAATTAAAACTTAGTATACGTTTAGCGTGTATAATCTCGGCGACGCTACGCCAGCTATTTAGAGGAACACCTCAGACTATTTCGGCATGTGAGACATCGTGCCCGAACAATCCTGTATTGTACGATAATGCATTCATAATTGCTCCCCTAAAAAGAGATCTATCGAGCAGCTAGTTCGAGTCCGCCAACGCGCCACACGAGCTTATGACGCAGGTTTATAATATAAATTAAATAATCGTTACTTTTAAAGAAATCTTGCTTATACTTTGAAGGGGACTACATAAAAGTGTTCCCTTTTATAACATCTAAAGTCTTAGCTATTGTTACTGTTAATTTTGTAAATAATTTTGCCTACTGGTGTGACCGTATTGCCTCTGCAAAATAACAGGAACGTAAGATCTATAGAGGGGCAAAAACAGCTTTTGCTACATGTTTCCTATAATAGACTATCAATGATGAAAATCATTTATTAATTAGCGCGTTATTCTGCGTAGGGTTTTGAAGCACATGCTTGGATCGATCGAGCCTTGTTTCAGGCCATTGCCTTACTCGAGAGGAAAACCTGTGGCAAATCAGCTCTGTCTTGGAACAGGAAAAATCAACTTACAGCGAGAAATTAATAGGCACACGAGTACTTGGTCCAGGGTAAGAACCAATTGTCTGTTCAAATCATGCACAGATAATGACCATATAGCGAGCGGCGGTTGAGACTACTGTAAGGACATCATACATCAAGAATAGCCAGGCACAGATGCTTGATAGGCCTTCGGGAGAACCTGCGAAGAATAATATAGGAATCAGAACTACGAATATTTTAGATAGAACAACTTGAAATTCAGGCGGATGATAATTCATTTGGATGAACATTTTTATATAAATATCTGTGTGTAATCAGTACTTGAAATGTATAAATCGTGTTTGGCCATCTCTGGGTACAAGCAGAAATGAGTTGTTAACCATAGATGTTTTTTTATGGATTTACAAAGGTAATAACTTCAATGGGGGGTGCTCATCTAAATACGCTGGCGCTAGATATCGTCAATGACGCCTCCCGTCTAATTGAACGGGCCCTCGTCAGGTCAGTGAAGGATATAGCGAAAGGTATCGTGACTTGCACGTATGGAGATGGCATCACAGGTCTTTTACGGATCTCCCATGGAAACACGAATTGATACGCTGAACGGTTAGATTCAACATGCTGAGAGACTTGCAACCTTGAAATTGTTATTTTCTCTATTTACAAATACGGTAATTGATTTCGATTGATATATAAAATAAAAAAAAAATCTGTATATTAGTTACGTGCAGTGTCATTTAATTTGTTGGGATGCTTTTATCGAATTAGATGTTCAGACATCCTCATCGGTACCGAACAATTCAGGATGCTAAGTCGTTTTTTGAGCCGTTGAGTGTTTCGACAAGGGATTTTTCATAATATTTTCAAGCAACTTGGCAGAAATCATTAAAATTACCGAAATTAGAAAGATCGCTGAATATTGCAACTTGGTGCATAGCATTGTTACTCCACTAACATATCTTAGAACTAACTAGTTCGCATATATAACATTTTATATCGAACAAATGGTCCTTTTAAATAGTCAAATAAATAATAGCATTTGTGAGGCGCTCGAAATCGATCTTTCTGTCATTTGTGGACTATCGAAATTTAAAAAAAAAAGTAAAAAGTAGGTCATACTGAAACTAAAGAAGTCATCCAATCTTACGAAACGTCTAACAGTTGCTTTGGAACAGTTGCCTTCCTCCCCCCCCTCCCCTCCTCCCTCCTCCCACGTCTTGACTTTTTTCGGTGGTGGTGATGTCGTCTGCTTGTTTCGTTGCTCTATCTGCCCACTCCTCGTTCATGTTGCCCCCCAGTGTGCGGACGGACCTCGTTGGCTTGTCTACGTGTGCCTCATACCAAATGAGTTGATGCAACGCAGCGCAAACGCGGAAGGACACCACCGAGAGCGCATGTTGGCCGACGGCTTCTGTCAATGGTTCCTCTTCGTCCTATGACAGAGGCGTCAACCAGAGGTCTGTACACTTCGTTCAAAGGGCCCTACTCCAGATATAACGCCCTCAAGGGCAAAAGCTCCCCGGAAGAAAGGACCGGGAGCTTGCCAACGGCCCTAGCCTAAT